TCCTGGGCAATGAAAGTCCCTCAAGCCTCGTCTTCCTGGCAAGCTCTGGACTTCGCCCTCACGTCTTTGCGGACGTCCTGCTGCTCGCTTGGGCTGTTCTGTGATGATTTGTTCACCCCCCCCACCCTCTCCGTGGACATTGGAACGCCTGGCCTTCTCCCAATCCTTCGGAAGTGATTACTTACTGCTCAAATTTGTAACGTATAGTTTATATTTTCTGTGTGCATATGTTAGTGTCTCTAAAATTGGGCGCCCCCCGGGGGGTGGTCTGAGGGGAGGTGGTTATTGTAGGTGGGGACGGGTAACTGCTTTTTTTTTTAGGGGAGTGTTATTGTTCGTATAGTCAGTGGAGTTTGGTTGGGTGGATGAGCGCCACCTAATTTGTCTCCCCGCTACTGGTTAGCCATTTCAACATGGAACCATATCATTCTCTCCAGCCCGGCTTTCACTTGGCCAAAAATGGCATACCTGAGGGCCTGTGTGCCTTTTCTCACCCCCATGCTCACTTCCCTCCGCCTCCTCCTCCCCACTCCTACGCCATTCCGAGAGAGGTGATGCTCGCCCCCTTTGCTTCCCTGAGGGGCGCCAGCTACTATAATTGTGTGTGGGGGAAGGGGGGAGGGGGGTTTCCTGTGTCTTATTTAGTCCCTTGATACTTATATTTTTGTGGGTTTGATGACGGGCCTTGATCTTAGGGGGCTTCATTGGTAACTGCTGAACAGGGGCTTATTGACGTTTTTATCTGTTCTTGTCATGCTCATTCATGTTTTGATAATGTTGACTTGTTATGTTTTTGCCTTGTGATGCGGTTTGCCTGTAATATGTGCAGGGGTCTTTCGCTGTTCTCCGTTTAGCCAAGGTGCCCCCTTTACTGTCTTGCGCTCACCTTGGCTTAGGCTGTCCTTCCCAATGCGTTCACTCTGTATGTGCCTTTACACTTCTTTAATACTAAGTGTAGCTAGACCCCTCGCTCGGCAACATTTCACGTGTGATACTTCTAATAAATCTGCCCAGGTCTTCTTCTTCTGCATGTTACATAACACTTCATCCCCCACGGAAGACCGGTACCCAAACCTTCTCTGTGCTCCACCCTGCGGACTCCTGACACCACTTATCTCTCTCGAACCCCGCCCCCTTATTCTTGCCTTTTTTTTTTATAATTTCCCATAGGGGGCTACCGGCCGGCGGGCCAGATGCGCACTTCCTGGTTTTACGCCGACCTCGTTCCCCACACAGTGAGCTCGGCGAGCTTCCACTGATCCTTTTCTTTCGGCTTCTATCTTTATCTTTTTTCTGAGCTTCCCTTTTATCTTTGTGCTTCTCTTCCTTTTTTTCCCGTCCTTTTCCCCTTTTCCTGTTTTCTCTTTCTCTCACGTGGAACAGCGGGTCTGTTCTACCTCAAGCCGTATCCTATCTATAATCTTCTTTTCCACCCCCCTTCCCCCCCTTTTTTTTTTTTTTTTTTTTTTCCTTTTTCTTTTCTTTCCCCTCCCCCCCTTCCTTTTCCCATCCCCCGAATCCTCGGCATACCGAAGCTTCGGACTCAGGCTTCGCCTTCCAGCAGTCATGCTTTCTTCCACCTCACAGCCGGGACAATTGTCTCTGAAACTCCTTTCACTTAATATCAAAGGTCTGAACATACCCGAAAAGCGCTCCATGCTCCTCTCTTACTTACACAAACAGAAAGTGGATGTGGTCTTTTTACAAGAAACGCATTTTCGCCAAGACTCCATTCCAAAGCTTTACAATTTCTGCTTCCCCACAGTCCTCCACGCCACCAATCCCCTGGCTAAGTCTAAGGGGGTTGCGATACTGTTCGCCAGACACCTCCAGTTTCATATAACAGATTCCATGGTGGATCCTGAGGGTAGATACCTGTTTATAAAGGGAGTATTCGCTAACAGACCTATCACATTCGCCAATGTCTATGCCCCCAATGTTCAACAGGTCTCCTTCCTGCGCTCAATCGTCTCTGACCTAGCCGCTTTCCAGGAAGGGTTACTGGTACTTGGAGGCGATCTGAATGTCCCTTTGAGCCCTCTGCTAGACTCCTCCTCGGGTAGTTCTTTTTTACCCTACAAGGCCCTCAGGCAAATACATATACAATTACAGCTTTCTACAATTACATGACACCTGGCGTACACTTTACCCCACTGTTAAAGATTATACTTTTTTTTCCCCACCACAACAAAAAGTATTCTAGGATAGACTATTTTTTTTTTGTCGCAACCAGATCTCCCTCTCCTCCATGCTGCTACCATAGAACCGATGGTCCTTTCCGATCATCATCCCATCACCATGACGCTACGGTTTCCCATCTCGCACGCACCCGCGCTCCAAATACTGGCGTTTGGATGCTTCCCTTCTTGCAGATGCCGCTATTGTTCAAGAGCTCCGCTCTAATATGGCTGAATATTTTTCCTTGAATAGCTCGTCAGACACCTCACCCATCACACGATGGGAGGCCCACAAGTGTGTCATTCGGGGCAGCCCTCATAGCCATTGCGACGAGACGTAAGAAAGCCAAACAGGAGCGTCTGAAGCTCCTCTCAGATAGGATCCGCTCTTTGGAAAGAGTACACAAACAGACTCTGGCTGCGTCGACCCTTTTGGAACTCACAAGTACACGCACACAGCTTCTCACGGAACTGGGTAAGGTGGTTAGAAAAAGATACATTCTTTCACATAAGCTGTATTACGAGTTCGCAAACAAGAGCGGGAAATTTCTAGCCAGAGCTCTTCGTGAAAAACGGGCTAGTATGACGGTGCATAAAATCAGAGGCTCTGATGGCATTGAGGCTACATCCAACCCCGATATTGCCGCCCCATTTTGAACGCTACTATACATCTTTGTACAACCTCCCTCAGGAACGTCCCCCTATCCATTCGGACAAATCTAGAACTGCCTTGATCTCTGAATTTCTCCATCTCTACGGTTCACCCGCCCTCTCAGAGGATCTGGTGCACGCTTTGGAAAATGATCTCACCTTACTTGAACTGCAATCCGCAGTAAAACAGATGAAAACCGGGGAAGAACCCGGGCCCTGATGGTTTTTCAGCAGCCTATTATAAATCTTTTTTAGATATACTGGGTATTCCATTTCTCGCTGCTTTTAACACTCTCGCTCAACCGTCAGGGTCGCCTAACCACCTGTTGGAGGCTCACATTACAGTTATCCCCAAAGACGGGAAGGACACCACCCAGGTCTCCAATTATAGACCCATTTCCTTGCTGAACGTGGACGTCAAACTATTCGCTAAGATCATTGCTAATCGTCTTCTTCCCTTGCTTCCCTCCATGGTCAATTTGGACCAAGTAGGATTTATCCCTGGTAGAGAAGCAAGGGACAACACTATCAAGGCCCTTAATCTCCACCACTGGCTTCGCAGGTCTAACACTCCGGGTTTTTTCCTCTCCTTGGATGCAGAAAAGGCCTTTGACAGGATTGCCTGGGATTACTTGAACGCATCTTTAGTGGCACTGGGTTCTGGGTGAGAAGATGCTTAACTTTATAATGGCCCTCTATTCTGCACCTACTGCCCGGGTCCGGGTGAACGGTCATCTGTCAAACTCCTTTCATCTACGGAACGGTACACGTCAGGGATGCCCCCTCTCCCCGCTTTTGTTTGTCCTATCCCTTGAGCCCCTGTTGCGGAAAATTTGTTTAAACCCTGATGTTAAAGGAATTACGGTGGCAGACAAGAATATAAACTGCAGCTTATGCGGATGATATTCTCTTGTTCCTGGCGGACCCTCACATCACCCTCCCGAACCTACTGAAAGACTTTGCCCTTTTCAGATATTTGTCGAATTTTAAAATTAATTTTTCCAATCTGCCGCCCTTAACATTACTTTTTGTCTGCTGAGCTAGTCTCTGCTTGTGAGGCCCAATTCCCCATTTCACTGGGAAAGGGATTCCCTAACTTATCTCGGTATCCAGCTCACCAGTAACCTTGATGACCTTTATGTGAAAAACTATCTTACCGCTCTTCGCTCTATGCAAGAAGACCTCAATAAATGGCACCGTCCCTGTTTCTCGTGGTTTGGAAGGGCAGCGATCATTAAAAATGAATGTACTTCCCCGTCTCCTGTATCTCTTCCAAACATTACCAATTCACTTACCTCTTGCTTTCTTTGCTTCTTGCAAAAGACTGTGTTCTCTGTTCCCTTTGGAGCCACAAAACGTCCGCGTATTGCCTACTCCCAATTTAACCTCTCTAAAACATAAAGGGGGTATAGGTTTTTTTTTTTTTTCCTGATTCTTTATACCGCTACTATTGGGCTTGTCATCTTTTCCCGGATAGTTGATTGGTACGTTCATACTGCCTCTAAAGACTGGATATCTATAGAGAATGCTTGCTCGCCCTTCCCCCTGGCATCGATTCCTTGGCTCTCGCCGAAACACACGCCACAAGCTCTTCTCACCCATCCCTTGGTGGGACCTACGTTAAAAATTTTCCGATCGGCTTGTAGATCTGCAGCCATTTTTTCTGACACACCCAACCCACTGACCCCTATACGCCTCAACCCTGACTTCCCCCCTGGGATGCATAAATACTTTTTAATGAAAACATGGCCACACAAACAGATCTTAGTGAAACATTTTCTCCACAAAGGCAAGGTGAAAACTAGAGATGAGCGAATTATTCAAAAATTCGATTCGGCTGATTCGGCGAATTCGCGGAATAAATTTGATTCGAGTCGAATATATTCGCTGCGAATTTAACTTATAAAAAGGTGTTTCTAGGCTTCAGAGCCTTTATATTAGTGCAGAACACTGTACCTTTAATTTAAATGCCCTTGGAGTGTCTGCTGTTGGGAAGAGAAATATTATATATACTGTCAGTCAGTATGACATGCAGATTTTGAGTGCCGTCGATCTTAGAATCACCGCACACTTCACTCATTTGGGCAGTCCACAGGGCCAAAACCAGGTGTGGGTGGCCACAGTGTGGCGGTGGAGGCCGCAGCAATGGGAGGCCATACAGCACCCTATAGAAAAAAATGGAACCCACCAGCAGTGTGAGGAGACCTGAAAGTGGAAAGGGGCACATGGCAGAGTGTGGCGATGGAGACAGCAGCAATGGGAGGCCGTACAGGGACCCATGATACACTCTGGACCTGGCAGCAGCATGAGGAGGCGGTACAGGGGCCCATGACAGATTACGGGCCTGGCAGCAGCATGAGGTAGTCGGTACGGGGGCCCATGGGCAGATTACGGGCCTGGCAGCAGCAATGGGAGGCCCGTAATCTGCCAGCACCCTATGACAAAATGGAACCCACCAGCAGTGTGAGGAGACTGAAAGTGGCACATGGCAGAGTGTGGCGATGGAGACAGCAGCAATGGGAGGCCGTACAGGGACCCATGACACACTTGGACCTGGCAGCAGCATGTGAGGAGGCGGTACAGGGGCCCATGACAGATTACGTTGGGCCTGGCAGCAGCAGGATGAGGAGTCGGTACGGGGGGCCCATGCAAGATTACGGGCCTGGCAGCAGCAATGGGAGGCCCGTAATCTGCCAGCACCCTATGACAAAATGGAACCCACCAGCAGTGTGAGGAGACCTGAAAGTGGCACATGGCAGATTGTGTTGGCGATGGAGACAGCAGCAATGGGAGGCCGTACAGGGACCCATGACCACACTCTGGACCTGGCAGCAGCATGAGGAGGCGGTACAGGGGCCCATGACAGATTACGGGCCGGCAGCAGCATGAGGAGTCGGTACGGGGGCCCACTGGCAGATTACGGGCCTGGCAGCAGCAATGGGAGGCCCGTAGTCTGCCAGCACCCTATGACAAAATGGAACCCACCAGCAGTGTGAGGAGACCTGAAAAGTGGCACATGGCAGAGTGTGGCGATGGAGACAGCAGAAATGGGAGGCCGTTACAGGGGACCCATGACACACTCTGGACCCTGGGCAGCAGCATGAGGAGGCGGTACAGGGGCCCATGACAGATTACGGGCCTGGCAGCAGCATGGGAGTCGGTACGGGGGGCCCATGGCAGATTACGGGCCTGGGCAGCAGCAATGGGAAGGCCCGTAAGGTTAGTCTGCCAGCACCCTATGACAAAATGGAACCACCCGCAGTGTGAGGAGACCTGAAAGTGGCACCATGGCAGAGTGTGGAGATGGAGACAGCAGCAATGGGAGGCCGTACAGGGGACCCCATGACACACTCTGGACCTGGCAGCAGCATGAGGAGGCGGTACAGGGGCCCATGACAGATTACGGGCCTGGCAGCAGCAATGGGAGGCCCGTAATCTGCCAGCACCCTATGACAAAATGGAACCCACCAGCAGTGTGAGGAGACCTGAAAGTGGCACATGGCAGAGTGTGGCGATGGAGACAGCAGCAATGGGAGGCCGTACAGGGACCCATGACACACTCTGGACCTGGCAGCAGCATGAGGAGAGGCGGTACAGGGGCCCATGACAGATTACGGGCCTGGCAGCAGCATAAGGAGTCGGTAACGGGGGCCCATGGCAGATTACAGGCCTGGCAGATGACGACGAGGCTGCCAAGTGCGATCAGCCTCATCATCATCAATTAGGGTCTCCGCCTCACTACTAGCCCCCTCGGCTGCGTGTGGGTCAGGAGACAGACCTGTCTCTAGACCGGCTACCGAGCCACTCTCCTCGCCAGTACTTCTTCGCCTGGCTGCTGAAGAGGCGGATGTCTCCCCCCGTTCCTGACCGCCCTCTGTTAGCTCTTCCTCACTGTACAGTGGGGCTGAGCCCACAGCATGCGATACTTCGCTTGGTGAGGGAACACCAAAGGACAGGGGCAGGTAGAGGACACGTGATTTCAGTGGGCTTGCTCCCGGGCCATACCAACTAACGGTTGTTGTCTGACGTACCCACCGACCGTTGGCTGTAGGTGTCAGAGGTGACCTGGGAAGAGGAAGACGACCGAGCCAACCAATCGATGACGGCAGGGTTGTCGGTGGAGACACGACCGCTGGATGACACCGGGAGCACTGGCCTCTGGCTGCGACTAGTGCTGCCTCAACCCCTTCCTCTGCTGCCACGTCTGCTCGCTCCTGAAACATTGCCTCCTCTGCCACTCCTCTGCGTGTTGTCTGACATACTCTTTAATTCAACGATTCTGTGTCCCTGAGTAACGATTCTGTGTCCCTGAGTAACAATTCTGTGTCCCTCAGTAACAATTCTGTGTCCCTGAGTAACAATTCTGTGTCCCTGAGTAACAATTCTGTGTCTGTCCCTGAGTAACAATTCTGTGTCCCTGAGTAACAATTCTGTGTCCCTGAGTAACAATTCTGTGTCCCTCAGTAACGATTCTGTGTCCCTCAGTAACAATTCTGTGTCCCCGAGTAACAATTCTGTGTCCCTGAGTAACAATTCTGTGTCTGTCCCTGAGTAACAATTCTGTGTCCCTGAGTAACAATTCTGTGTCCCTGAGTAACGATTCTGTGTCTCTAAGTAACGATTCTGTGGCCCTAAAGTCTCTCTGGCCCTAACTCTGTCCCTAATACAGACAGGTCTGTCTCTCTTGAATGACCGGAGGCTAATGGAGAATTCTAAGATGGCCGCAATTTATAGCTCCACCATTACACAGTGCTGGTTGGCTGGCTGCTGATTGGCTAATGCGATCACATGTCATGAATGAATGCATTATGGGTCAGCGCGCCTTGTCTGCGCGCCTTCCCAGAGATCCCCGCTCCGTCGCCACACATGTCGCCGCCATTTTTGGGAAAATTCAATTCATGCATCCGAAGTTTGCTAATTTTCGGATTCGGCGCGAATCGAATTTTTCCTGAACTTCGAAACGAATTCCACTTCGCCATGTTCGATTCGCTCATCTCTAGTGAAAACGCTCAGTGAACTGCAGGAAAGCCTGGGTATTCGCGAATTCCCTTTCTGGGTATATTTCCAGATCAGACATTATCTGCTCTCTCATAAACCCCCTCATAACTGGCATCGCTCTCTTACCCCATTTGAATCTGCATGCGCGAAGGCTGAACCGCGGAAACATCTGATCTCGGAGATCTACCCACTTCTAGTGGAGAGCCTAGTCTTATGACTCCCTCCCCGCATGTCGGGCGTGGAAGAGAGATCTTAATGCTGAGCTGTCGGACTCAGACTGGGACCTGGTTTTCCAATACTCTCATAAATGTTCCCTCAATGTCTCGACACAAGAAAACAGCTACAAAATAGCCTCTAGATGGTACCAAACTCCCTCAAGAATTCATCATTTTAACCCCGCCTTCCCCAACAGCTGCTGGAGATGCGGGACCCCGGATGGGTCCTTTCTTCACATTTGGTGGTCTTGCCCAATTCTTCAACCATTTTGGCAGGAGGTCCATAGGTTAGTAGTGTCTATAACTACCTTACCCTTAGCTCTCTCTCCTGCCCAATTCCTCCTCCATCACTCTTCCCTTCCCAGGGCTCAGTATTTTAAATCATTAGCCATGCACATGATCAACGCAGCCAGACTCTGTATTCCGGTTCTATGGGGCTCCACACGCTCTCCCTCTATCCGTGAATGGCTCACTCGAGTGGGTAAAACGGCGGACATGGAAGAACTGGTTGCGACTGCCCTCGATACTCCTATGAAATTCTCTCATGTATGGGCCTGCTGGACCCATTTTCTGACTACCCCGGAGTATCGATCCCTCATGGACCAATCTGTCTAAAACCTAATTTGGACTTCCTGATAGTGTTATTTAGTGGTATTTGACCTGAGGGTGCCATCATACTCCCCCCGGTGTTACACACGCTTTCTTTTGACGCCAATGATAGCTTAGGTTCCACCCACTCCCGCTACTGTTTGTCTTGAGGATAAGATCTTTTTGACGGTTGTCCCTTCCCCACTTGCTTCCCTTCCTCCCCCCCCTCCCCCTCCCCTTTTTTTTTTCTTCTCTCTCTCTCCCCCTCTTCCTCTTTCTTTCCCTTTTTTCTCGCCTTCTCTTTTCTTTTCTTTTCATATGCTTTTACACGTTTTGGACAATTTTTCTAATAGCACACTGGTATGCTGTCAGCATCACTTCCCGCAATTCGTTCGCAGTTCCCACGACAATTACTCCTACATTCGCACAATTCCACCATCGTATTCTGTAGTATTGACTCTCACATAGGCATCGTACTTGCTCTTCTCCCCCCTACAGATTTTTATCGCAAGACGTTATGGTGGAAGGCCAGACGTCTCTTTATTTTTAGCACTTGACAAGCATACCTAAATATTGCAGGCACAACCCTGTCGTGGCCTAGTTCATCCACACTGTTTGGTCTTGCGTTGGACCTCATTTGCCTTTGTATGATTTATGCTTTGCTGTTTGTCCTATGTGCATTTCATCTGTACATTTTCGTGTGATCATATGTATCTTGTTTTCAATAAACTTTGTTTTTTTTGGAAAAAAAATAAATAAATAAATAATATGCTGCCACCTTGAGTTCCACCTCCCATATTTTTATTCCTGCTATATTTAATTCTGCAGTTCACCATTATATATTTTAAAGAACATTAACGTTAATCGTGTCTGACGGACTGTTGTAAAGCCCTTTTATCCACCTTAATATTTTAGGCCCTAATCCTAAGGCCTCCAATGTATCAAACATAAATCCCCAATTAACCCTGTCAAAAGCCTTTTCAGCATCTATAGACAGGAACACTGTCGGCAATTTCTCTTTTTACCCTTTTTAGGAGGAGCAATGATCTCAGATCATTGTCCCTACCTTCTCTTCCTGGAATAAATCCTACCTGAGCTAAGTATACCCAATCCAGCATCAACTCCTTTATTCTGGTTGCCAATACCTTAGCATATACTGTAGTTTGGTGTCAATATTCAACAAGGATATGGACCTGTAACTGGCACACTGTGTACTATCTTTCCCTTCTTTAAGTATAATCATTATATAAGCCTGCAAGGACTCCTCCCTCATTTTCAGTCCCTCCCCTATTGCATTCATATAACCACACATTTTAGGAACAAGGAGGTCTCTAAACATTTTAAAATATCCTATAGTGTATCCATCCAGGCCAGGGCTCTTTCCTGCGGCCGTGTATTTTATGGCCAGGGTAATTTCCTCTGGGGTGATTGATCTCTCTAGGGCCTCAAAATTTTCTTGTGCTAATCTTGGCAACTCCACTTCCTTTAAATATTTCTGCCTATTATTCTTCTTTTCATCTTCCGTTTCTTTTTTATTGCTGGGGCTCACATTGTACAGCCTGCAATAATATTTATGAAACCTATTTGCAATATCAGTGGTGGTGTACACCATTCCTCCTTTACCATCATTAATTCTTTCTATAATATTTTTAGATTTCTTTTCCTTTAAGCTTCCTCATTAAATATTTTCAAGGTCTATTCCCTCACTGATATCTTTCTCTTGTGACCCTATTGAATATCCTTCTTGACCCCTGTTCCATGAGTTCTTTTAGTTTTCTTCTCTTTTAGGGCCATCTTCTTTTTTTTTTTTTTTAATTCAAATATTTATTGATTTTTCATATTTATAAATACATATAAAAAAGAGAAAAAGGAAAGATGCACAATACATTTCTTCAACAATCTCATATATTATATAAAATTCTTATCTCCTTCTATTTCCCCCTTTTTATTTCCCTTCCCTCCACCCCTACTCCCTACTCCATCCCACCACCCTCCCACTCTGCATTTCCCTCTTACATCCTTCCTTATAGAATCAAAAAGAAACTTCACTTAACATTTCCCATTGCTTCACATATATTTGTTTGATGTACAAAATCTTCCCATTTCCTCCATCTCCTATTGTAAATCTCCATCTTGTCTTCTTGGATATAATACAATTTCTCCATCCTACTAATCTGATTTACTCTCTCTACCCAGTCCTTTTCTCTCGGCACCTCTGGACTATGCCAGAATTTAGGTATCAAACCCTTTGCTGCATTCACATAGTACCATATGCCCAAATCTTTATATTTATTCACTGGTATATCTGTACTATGTAATAGGCATGCTTCTGGATCTAGTCCTATCTTTATCTCTGAAATTTTCTTTATTAAGTTAACCATTGTCTCCCAGTACCTATGGATCTTTGGACATTCCCACCATATATGAAACCACGTACCAATCATTCCACACCCCTGCCAACAATCTTGTGTTCTTTCTACATCTATTTTATGTTCAACACTCGGTGTGATGAGCCATCTTACCAAACATTTATAATTAACCTCCACCTCTCTCATACTGACATTTTCATGTATAAGTCTATATACAGTTTGCAAGAAAAAGTATGTGAACCCCTTGGGATTACGTGGAGTTTTGCATGAATTGGGCATAAAATGTGCTCTGAATGTCATCTAAGTCACAACAATAGAAGAACACAGTCTGCTGAACATAATACCACACAAACATTAGATGTTGCCATGGTTTAATTGCACATAACATGTAAACATTTCACAGTGCAGGGAG